AGGAACCTGTGTTTTCTGTATCTGTATGTGTTGGGAAAGGGAAGTGTGTTGCGTGCATGTGTGGGTGTGGGAGGGACATGTGACATGTGTTTCGTTCTATGTGTGTATGTGTTGTGTTTGGGGTGTGTGTCTGTGGAGAAAAGGGGGGGGGGTGCACTTTTGTTTGTGTTCATGTGTGCTCAACATGTGCATAAGTCAGTTTGTGTGCGTCTGTTTGTGAGTGCGTGTCTGTGTGTGTCTGATTGTGACTGCGTGTCTGTGTGTGTCTGTTTGTGAGTGCGTGTCTGTGTGAGTCTGTTTGTGACTGTGTGAGTCTGTTTGTGACTGTGTGTATGAGTGCCCTACTTTACTTTTGAATGAATAGAGAAGGGTTGAGAAAGAATACGTGAATACGGTAACTTTGAGAATTATAAAGAAGTAAAAATGATTGAGAGTGAGTGAAGGGGAGGGGGGGGGGAGAGAAAGAGACCCAGAAAAAAAAAGCGAGAGAAAGAGCGTATGAAACCAGGGATGAAAAGAAAAAGAACATGAATGAGATAGAGAATGTGCATGTGTGTGTGTGCGTACTAATATAGGGGCAGGAAGAGATTAGGCCCGTGTTTGCCTCCCCTTTGATTGTCATCAGACCTTGACCTTAGGTTTGATCCACCATCATCCCGAGAAAGACGGACAGACAAACAGACAAACAAACATCCTGATTCTGAGACAGATTTTTTTCCTCTGAGCCATAACATAATTTCGCTTTTTAATTTTAAAAAACTTTTATTAAAAAATTTGAAATACAGTAGAGTCCGCTTATCTTTACCGTCTCTTGGCGCAATGGTGCAATAATGCGCCGGTGAAAATTATCCATTCCGGTACTGGGCCAGGCCCAAAAAGTAGGTTGCAGTCGTTCTCCTGGCTGGGGGTGACCAGATGGGGGTATTTTTGTACCGTACTGCTGGCTGCGTGACTGCAAAGTGTTAAACCTGTCCCCGTCGTTTTATGCAAAAAAAATTATGAAATTATGCAAACTGAGCCCAAAAATGTGAAATAATGCGATTCTGTTAATGTTAACAAAGAATGATGAAGGAAAATAATCAGAAATTATGCAAAAAATGATCAAATTTTGCTAAATTGTGCGGGGTGCATAAAACCACGGGGACAGTTTAACCAAACACAGTTAATCCGAAAACCGCGGTAAACCGCTAGAAAATAAAATCGCAGATTTTAAAATTCCTACTATTTGAGCAACATCCCGTAAACTGAAAACCCGGCTAAACCGAAGAAACAGGGAGGCCCTGCAGTCGGTTTATTGCAGATTTCTCTGTATTTTGTTGGGTTTTTTTAAAACCAGTGTGTACCTAAGTCAACATTACGATTTGGCGCGAAAGTGAAGATAAATGTCTCCAAAGTTTTATTGTTAGTCACATGACACAAAACCGAGCTACTTTGAGTTTGAGGGGTATTGAACAAGGAGGCCGTAATGGACATTTCTACTAATGCTGTAGAACTAACTAGAAAACTGAACAGACTGACTTAAAAAATTGTGTTATGGCTGCGACTAGAGATATATATATAATATGTATGTGTGTATGTGTAAAAACCACATCGCGATGTTATATATTGTTGATAATTTATATATTATATAATATAAATTATTGTAAGACGTGAAAACCACTCTGTGAAAAATGAACATTCTGACATATTCACGTTTTGGGAAAGACAGATGGTAAAACTGGAAAATTGTTTCTTTTTTCTTTATTAAATTTATCCAGTCCATTTCAATTCTTTCTGGTTGTCTCACCTGACCCTATTGTTGAAAAGTTTCCCTAACTCTGGACTGGTTTACCGGTGTCTGTGGTGTAGTGGTTAGGCACTTGACCATCACACACAGAATGTGTGAGTTCCATTCCCATATGGGGAGGGGATTTTTTAAAAACACTTTGCCACCATATTTTGGGGAAAATCCAAAGAAACTGAGTGGCTGGAAAACATGGCCAATCAGCGAGACGAGGTGGCTCAGTGTTAACCGAGCGTCTCCGTCTTTGTGTTGGGACGTTGTATCCCTCCCTCTCAGCCCCGCACTCATGGCTCTGACCGGCAGGGTCGAAGCAGCCCGCCTCCGAAATGATCTAAATTGTGTCGACAGGGGCGCAAAACGCGTCGTACAGTTGCTGGTTTTAGTGGACTGGTTTGACAGAGTTTTGGCGAGTAAACAGTGGGTCAGCTAAAAAAAAAAAAAAAAGCAATAACCCGTTTTTAAAAAGTAAATTGGACATTAAAAAAACAACAATTTATTAGTACGATTACTCAATAATTTCCAATTTGGGACTTACGTTGTTTTTCCATTGTGGTCTTCCTTCCCATGTTTTGTAACCCCGAGAATTAACATGTTTTGTTTTTTGTTTTTATTTTTTATGTAAATGCAATAATATTATTGTTGTGACAACCGAGGTGTCTGCGGTGCAGCAGTAATGCTCTTTGTCGTTGCACGCAGGAGATGTGAGTTTGATTCCCAAGTGGGAGAGTTGGGTTGTTTATTGTTTATAGAGTCCATGAGGGTGCCTGGCAGGTGCTCTGTTGTGGTTTTCTCCTTCTTTCCCATCAAATATCTGTCTTCCTTATCTCTCCTTCTTTCCTATCCAACATCTGTCGTCGATCTCTCCTCCTTCTTTCCTGTCAAACGTCTGTCGTCCTTATCTCTCCTACTTCTTGCTTATCAAACACCTGTCGTCCTTATCTCTCCTCCTTCTCTTTGTATTGTATGTTACTCTCTAGTAACACACCTCTGATCTTCGGCAATTATATGACCTTTATGTGTCACAAGGGCAGTAAAACTCTTACAAAAAAGCTAAAATCTAGTCTAAGGTAGCTATTTTGATCAGCCTGTGATGACGTCTCTATCACAAAGTGCCTTCATTTATTATGTCCGATATATGTAAGGGTTGTGTTTCTGTGATTTTTTTTTTTTTGTGATTTTTTTTTTGGGGAAAGGGGG